AAATTAAATTATTTAAATTATTATTCAAATTATCACCTTATAGTTCACCACTATCCACAACATACCACACACATCACACAGATAATCACCAATAATTTACAAATAACTAATTAAATAATTAATCTTAAATTATAAGGTGTTACAATTGACCTTAACTCAACCATACAAAATCAACTTGTAAGATGATGGATGTCACTTTATATAAAGTATTTCTAAACTCCATCTACAATCAATGTGAAACTTGAGATTTTTTCAATAGTGTACATTAATATAATATTCTACTTGTTCATGTCATAGATGAAAGTTATTTTCGTTGAACTTCTATGAGATTTTCATAGAGAATTAAAATAAAGAACAAGATTCTATAACAAGTTGAGAATTCAGCTGTTAGATACATAACCACCACTCTGTAACGGGGTGTGGTGGTGAAGGAGAGAGGTGAGATCCATCACTCTTATAGATTTTAATTTACAATTTTGTTAAACTGTTTTTCATTCTTTTAAATAATTAATTATAATCTATTTATATTATTTGGTGAAAGATATGTGGTAGGTTGTAACTACTATTACTCTTACTGACATGTAAAGTTATTAAATAACTAACTATAATTATTATTCTCTGTTTTAAAATATATATCGTTTTAAAAAATAAATTTTATTTTAAAATAACTGTTATTTTTATTTTTTAATATAGAAATAATAAATTTTTTCAATTATATTTTTAATTATTATTCTATACATTACTTTTAATATATTTATAAAATTAATTTAATATTAATATAATATATTAAGATAATATTATTACATTCTTTAGTTCTTTAATTCATATACAAAAATTTTAAACAATCTTTGTTTTAAAATGGAGGGAGGAGCTTGCTTGTAATGCATAGTTTATCTCTCATATATTATGGTACCAATTGATTTTTTTGTGAGTTGCTGTAGTATGATATAGATTATATTTTGTGCCAAATTAGGGATATAAATATGATTAAATTTATCATATAATTTTATCACTAATAAAAAATTCGTGTTATTACATGAATCTCATTTTAATTTATATGAATTTTTTATTTACCAATGACACTTGCAGATTTTTTTTTTTGAAGTCGGTTGATTCATGATTGACAAAAATATTATTATTATTATTATTATTATTATTATTATTATTATTATTATTATTATTATTATTATTATTATTATTATTATTATTATTATTATTATTATTTCTCACTTTATATACATCCCATTTGTATGGATGATGCAATATTCGTTTTACCCAATGACATTGTAGTCAACTTGACCACAACTTGTTCATCAAAAGAATATATGCTGCCAAGCACATTATTAGCAAGAATTTTTCAACTATATATAATATAGCATAATTGATTTTGTTCCTACAAACCAAAAAGTGTAAAATTTGTTTAACCATTCCAAACTAATAGTCTATAAACCTGATCAGGTTAAAACCGACCGACCCAACACAGAATTTGTTAGTGTACTTGAGATTCGAATCTAAGAGACCTAGAGAGAAACACACTCTTATATTTTAAGGATTTACCATTTTAAGGATTTACCATCAGACCAACCAAATAAAAATTATTCGTTTTGTTATATTATATTATTACAGTTAATCCTTTAGCAGATTTATCTATAAATGTACCCTACACTATATAATAAATCCAAACCATATCAGTGTCTTTGTTGAAAGAAAGCATCTCCATGTTTTCATTGCTTCATCAGCTAGAAAACCACTAGAACAGAAAGAACAAATAAACTAAGGTTAGTTGCTATAATATAGTATACAATACATATATAAATATTTTTGTTTAATCTATCTTTGTCTTTCTGATACATGAGCTATGTATTATTAAGGTTATAGGTGCTGCAGCAAGTTATAGAGATGATTTGTCGATCAAGTCCACTAAACATCAACACAGAATTTCTAGACAAAAAAATGGAAATCGAAAGAGATACGAATCAGAACTTGGAAGATAAGTTACCAGTGGTAGGCTCTGAAGTAATCCAAGCTGATGAAGCATGGACAGAACACATCACAGTGAGAGGATTGTTTGTGAGTATGATGATTGGAATAATCTATAGTATAATAGCAATGAAGCTTAATCTCACAACAGGAATGGTTCCGAATTTGAATGTCTCGGCCGCTCTACTTGCTTTCGTGTTCATGAGAAGTTGGACTAAAGTGCTTGAAAAAGCTGGTTTTGTTTCTAAGCCGTTCACTCGCCAAGAGAATACTATTATTCAGACGTGCGCTGTTGCTTGCTATAGCATTGCTGTTAGTGGTGAGATTCATGTATTTTATTGAAACAATCATTGATCAGACTTTACTTATCTCGTGAACTCTAGATTAATTTGTGAGTATTGCAGGAGGATTCGCTTCGTATCTGTTGGGATTAAACAGGAAGACATATGAGTTGTCTGGAGTAGGTATCGAAGGTAACAACCCGAACGCGGTTAAGGATCCTGCCTTTGGTTGGATGTCTGGTTTTCTTTTTGTGGTTTGCTTTGTTGGACTCTTTGTTTTAATTCCACTCAGAAAGGTATGTAGTATTTAATTAACTAATCAGTTAATAATAATATTTTGGACTCTTTTTTATACAATATTTTTGGATGTCTCAGATTATGATAGTTGATCTCCAATTACCTTATCCAAGTGGATTAGCAACAGCAGTTCTCATCAATGGTTTCCATACACAGAATGATAAAACGGCCAAGTACTGTAAAAATCTCTTTTTTCATTGATTCGTTAACTTTTGTTTGTTTTATAGTTTGAAAAATAAAGGTTACTTATAGTAATCATGGTATTATAATATTTTGCAGGAAGCAAGTGCATGGATTCATGAAGTACTTTTCTATTAGTTTCTTATGGGGTTTCTTTAAGTGGTTTTTCTCGGGCGTTGAGAATTGTGGATTCGAACAATTCCCGACCTTTGGATTGCAAGCTTGGAAGCAGACGTACGATGATTTATTTTTTGTCTGAAACGTGTTATAGTTGGTTTTGAGTGAAAGTTTTGATTTTGGTTGGTATTGATCTTGTTGATTGAATTTATTATTATGCAGATTCTATTTCGACTTTAGTACAACTTTTGTGGGGGCAGGAATGATTTGCTCTCACCTTGTGAACTTGTCTTTGCTTCTTGGAGCTGTGATGTCTTTTGGAGTCATGTATCCGCTTGTCGATCGCCTCAAAGGAAATTGGTTCCCTGATAATTTAGAAGAAACTAACATGAAGGGTTTATATGGTTATAAGGTTTTTCTATCAATTGCTCTAATCCTTGGCGATGGCGTATATACTTTCACCAAGATTCTAGTTTCAACTGTCATTGGCGTAAATGAAAGAATGAAGAACAAGAAACTTAAAAATGGTAAGAGCAATCATATAGACTCACTCTTCTTTTAAAGTTTTCAAGAGTCTAATGTAAAGTTTATTTTCCTGTTGTAGAATCAGCTTCTGTTCAGCAAGGGAGTCCTACTGGGGACCTTAACCATGGTCAAACATTCTTGAAGGAGGTCATTCCAATGTGGATTGGGGTTGTTGGATATGGCGTTTTCACAACCATTTCGATAATTATAATCCCGCACATGTTTCCTCAGCTGAAATGGTACTACATCATTGTTGCTTACATATTTGCTCCATCTCTTGCATTCTGCAATGCTTTTGGAGCAGGTCTTACGGATATAAACATGGCATATAACTATGGAAAAGTTGCGCTATTTTTGCTGGCAACTGTGACAGGAAAAGAGAACGGTGTAGTGGCCGGACTTGTGGGGTGTGGTCTCATTAAATCTGTGATCTCGGTGTCTTGCAATCTGATGCAAGATTTCAAAACTGCTCATTGCACGCGTACCTCTCCCAGGGCAATGTTTGCATGCCAAGTAGTTGGCACAGCGATGGGGTGTGTATGCTGTCCTCTGAGCTTCTTCCTGTTTTACAAGGCATTCGACGTGGGAAACCCACATGGAGAATTCAAAGCCCCTTATGCACTCATTTATAGAAACATGGCAGTTATAGGTGTTCAAGGTTTCTCAGCACTGCCAAGACATTGCTTGCAACTTTGTTTTGGGTTCTTTGCTTTTGCTATAGGAACAAACATATTAAGAGATTTTTCACCCAAAAAGATAGGAAAATGGATGCCTTTACCAATGGTCATGGCCGTACCGTTTCTGGTTGGTGCATACTTTGCAATTGATATGTGCATGGGAAGTTTGGTCGTGTTCGTGTTGCACAAGCTTAACAGCAAGAAAGCAGAGTTGATGGTTCCTGCAATTGCCTCTGGACTAATTTGTGGGGAAGGACTATGGACTCTTCCTGCTGCTATTCTTGCTCTAGCGAAAATTAATCCGCCTATCTGCATGAAATTTGTTTCTTCATAAATTTTGACCCACCATATAAAGCAGTGAAGAACATTAGCTAGTTTACCTTTTTTTTTCTTCTTTTTTTGTCACCGGTTGTGTACTCTGAAGCACATCAAACAAATATAAAATGTTGTTCAATACAGAACATTACCCCATACTGTTGGCATTAAAATAGTTTGTTGTAACATGACAGAACTCTTGACAAAAATAACAGGTTTCTTGAATACAGTTCATGCTGCATGTACATTCCTAACCCCAAACAAAACTAAAAGAAAACGTCTTCCTTGTAGAACAATGGATGATTTTTCAGCCTTACCAATGTATAACCGGTGAAGTATTATATCAGAGAATCAAAAAGGCTTAAAAAAGAAAGACACCAATTATATAACAGATGTAAAAGGTCCAAACCACAGATTCTACCATTCTTGTATAATATGAATTATTGGCATAACCCATGATATTTAACAAGATGGTTAATGAGTAAACTCTGATTTTTCTATCGCATTAACATTATTTCATACATTACTCAACATTATACACAAGTTCGCAGAGAAGTGCAAATAACTGATGATGAGTTTTTACTCAATTTGACAGACCAAATTGGTAATACATTTAAAGAAATTACAATCATCCTGTGATAATACCCGCCAATACATCACTTTTTCCTCGCACATAAATAGTGTAAACTAAACGAATTGCATCCAGCCATCCATCCAATGATTCCCAAGAGTCAGCAACCTTGATAAAGCAATGTACAAAAATGAAAATTAGTGCTGCAACTTCAAAAGCTAAAGAGATTCTTAAGCTTTCGACTTTGAGATGAAGCACTACTATTCAAAGATTTCACCAAACTTTTAGAATCTTATTAAAATTTAAATTTGGCAGAACAATTTTTAATTACATTGGTGTTTGAGGACCGGTCACTCGGGAAATACAATTCAGCTTCTTATATCAAACCAGTGTGTACTAATAGAAGGATAAAAAAATTCATGCACAAATGATGATGAGTATCCACACTTTCAATAGTACAACAAGAGTGCAGGTTTCACACAATTGCATTACCAATTAAAGTTGATAATCTCATGATATAATCAGATACACTATCAACAAAGAATAAGGCATCACAAACATCTCAAACTCAAACTAATGTTACAAGAAGTTGTTGGGACAATCAAGAGTGCAGAAGTGGTAATTTCATTACGAAATGTGGACTAGATTATTTTATAATGAAAAAGTTCATGGCTTTATCAATCCAAATATTGACTTCAGCTAAAATTTATTTTGTGCCTCTGGATTAAACAACATACAACAAGTGTAGATGAAGGAACTGGCAAATATATAGAATACAAGTACACTAAGGTTGATTAAAGTGCTGCTTACTGTTAGCAAATCTGGTAACTAATCTTTATTAGAATGAAATACTGCTATATAAATAACTTACAAAAAGGAAAACTGAACTGAATGCTTCCTAAGAATCAGGGCCACTAAGTCATACTTGACTCCCTACAATTTAGGCTTAATTAAAACTAACAACCATGATCCTCTCACGATCAATAGAGACTAAGTCAGTTACATATAGCAAATAACAATTAATAACAATATTAATAATAACATAACAATTCTCCCCCTAAACTAGACTGTCTAGTTTATCTCTGAGATGTCACATACGCCAAGTTTCTTCCTGAGCTCTTGAAAGACTTCAAGCTTGAGCGGCTTAGTAAAGATATCAGCTATCTGCTGTTTGGTGCCGCAATAATTCAATTGAACCTTTCCTTCATTTACTAAATCACGGAGGAAGTGAAAGCGCACATCAATATGTTTGCTCTTACCATGCATAACCGGGTTCTTTGAGAGCTTGATGGTAGAACTGTTATCACAAAAAATCACTGGACTTTTGCTTCCATTGTAGTCCAACTTGGACAGCACCCTCTTCATCCAAATCAGTTGGCAGGCACAAGCTGACGCAGCTACGAATTCTGCTTCGGTGGTGCTGAGTGTGACTATAGGCTGTTTCCTTGATGACCATGCCACCGCGGCATTGCTAAGTATAAAGGCATAGCCCGAGGTGCTTTTCCTGTCATCGATACATCCGGCATAGTCGCTGTCTGTGTATCCCACAAGCTCCTGATTGCCTGATCTTTGATAGAAAATCCCAAAACACATAGTTCCCTGCACATACCTCAGTATTCTCTTTGCTGCCATAAGATGCATCTCAGTTGGCTTGGCCATATATCTACTGACTACACTAACTGCATACATCAGATCCGGCCTGGTAGTGGTTAAATATATCAAGCTACCAACAAGTTGCTTGAACATGGAGCTGTTTACTGTCACACCTGTATCATCTTTATCAATTTTAACCCCAGGAACAGTAGGATTTAGGACCAAGTTGCTTTTATCCATTCCAAACTTCTTCAAGACCTCTTTGGCATATCTCTTTTGAGAGATGAAGATTCCACTGTCAATCTGCATAACCTCTAAGCCAAGGAAGAAGTGCATTCTTCCCAGATCAGTCATTTCAAATTCCTCCATCATTGATTGTTTGAATTCTTTCAACATAGCTTCATCATTCCCAGTATAAATCAAATCATCAACATATAGGCTAACGATCAAATGCTTCCCTTGTTGATTGATCTTGGTGAACAAGGTTTGTTCGCTTGCTTCTTTATCAAAGCCCATGTTTCTGAAGTATGCTTCAATTCTGCTAAACCAAGCTCTCGGTGCTTGTTTAAGGCCGTATAAAGCTTTCTGGAGCTTGTATACCTTAGTCGTCTCATGCTTCACTTCATATCCTTTTGGTTGATCAACATACACCTCCTCTGTAAGTTCACCTTGTAAGAATGCGGACTTCACGTCGAGCTGATACACAACCCAACTTCGTTGCGCAGCAAGAGCCAAGATCATACGCACAGTGTCTAGCCTTGCCACTGGCGCGTATACTTCTTCATAATCAATTCCGTGTTGTTGCGCATATCCCTTTGCTACTAAGCGAGCCTTATACTTGTCAATCTCACCATGTTGATTCAATTTTGTTTTATACACCCATTTAACCCCTATGCTTGCGACTCCCTTTGGTAATTCAACTAGAGTCCAGGTTCCATTCTTTTCAATGGACTGAATTTCAGCATCCATGGCTTTCTTCCAGTTGGTATTTAGAACAGCTTCCTCAAAGGATTGGGGGTTAATACATGCTGCCACATCAGAGTTTGAAACAACAGAGTTCACCACATAATCCTCCATCCACCTTGGAGCTCTTCTGCTACGTTGGCCCACTGCTGCAGATTTTTCTGTTGTAGCTACTACATTATCATCCTCAGTAGCAATCTCAGTCCCAGCTGCATTCTCAAGCTCCTCATTCTCAACTGTTGAGTGACTTGTATCTCCACTGTACTCGATGGCTTCTTCATGCTCTGATTGATCTTGTGGTGTCACTGTATCACTCTCTTGGTCAACAATAGTAGTATCCATATCTCCACAATCAAGCTGATCTTTGTTAAATTCTGAGTGACTTGTATTCCAATCCCATTTCTTATTTTCTTCGAACACGACATCCCTGCTAACAATGATCTTTCTTTTAATGGGATCATATAACCTATATCCTTTCGACTCAGCACTTACTCCAAATAAAACACATTTAGTGCTCTTGTCGTCAAGCTTGACTCTTCGAGCATCTGGAATGTGGACATGAGCAATGCAACCAAAAACTCTGAAGTGCTCGACTGTGGGCTTCACTCCAGACCAGGCCTCTTCAGGAGTCATTCCTTTTACGGCAGAGGTAGGGCTCCTGTTAAGCACATGGAATGCCCAATTAACCGCTTCAGGCCAGAAAATCTTAGGCACTTCCTTCTCGGCAAGTAAACTTCTGGCCATGTTCATGACAGTTCGGTTTTTCCTTTCGGCAACTCCGTTTTGTTGTGGCGTGTAGGCTGTGGTGAGCTGTCTTTTTATCCCTTCTTGTCTACAATAATCAGTAAACTCGTGTGAGGTAAACTCGCCTCCACGATCAGTTCTCAAGCATTTCACAAATAAACCGGACTCCCTTTCTACCCGACTTTTAAATTGCTTGAATGTAGAAAATGCATCACTCTTATAAGCAATAAAATACACCCAAGCCTTCCTACTAAAGTCGTCAATGAAACAGATGAGGTACCTTTTTTGACCATGTGACATTGGCGAGATGGGACCACATATGTCGGCATGTATAAGCTCCAATCGGGCTTCAGCTCTCCACATGGATTTTCTTGGTATGATCTCCCTGTGTTGTTTTCCTTTCAAACACTCAGTGCATACAGCAGTAGTTTCTCTAGCAGCAATGATTTCTCCAAGATTTGGCAAGCCTTTAACCATGTTGTTGCTTGTCAAAGTTTGAAGTCCAGTATAGCTAAGGTGGCCATACCTGCAGTGCCATAGATGAGCAATTTCTTGGATGTCAGTTTGGAAGCAGCATTCACCTGACTCATTGGTAGCCGAGGAGGTCTTCGAGAGCAATATGAACATTCTGTTGAGTGTCATTCTGCTTTCAAGGATAAGGCCCTTTAATGGATGATAGATTTTGCACTCATTGTTCTTGATTAGAAAGGCCAAGCCTTTCTCCTGCAACTGTCCGATACTTAGTAAATTGTTCTTCAATTCTGGAATATAGAACACTTCTTGAACAACATAACAAACACCGCCAAGATTTAACCTAACACTCCCTTTGCCCACAACCTTCATCCTCATATGGTTCCCTAGACTGACTTCTCTTTTGAACCCTTCCTCCATGGTACAAAAGAGAGAGATGTCTCCGCTCATGTGGTTGCTGCATCCGCTGTCTAAGAACCATGCAGTCTCTCCTTTTTCCCCTGATGCTTCAATATAAGCCATAAGAAGCATCTCTTCATCCTTGCTCATCTCAGCATAATTAACCGTCTTCTCGAGATTAGGGCATTCATATTGAAAATGCCCTAATCGGTGGCATTTGTAACATTCAATTGTTGCTTTATTGTAGCTTTGACGGCCTCGTCCATGACCTCTTCCTCCTCTGAAGCTGTTTCTCCCTCGTCCTCGACCACCGGTGTTACCATAAGAAACCGCCAATGCTTGTTCTTCATCTGGTTCCCTCTTGAACTTTTGTTCATGGACCAAGAGGGAACTTTGCAAGGCATCAACTGTGAGCTCATCAACATCATTAGCTTCCTCAATGGAACACACAATGTAATTCCATTTCTCCGTCAGTGTTCGCAAAATTTTCTCTACGATTTTGACATCTGTCATGTCTTCACCGCAATTTCGCATGTCATTGGCTATGGTCCTCACCCTTCCAAAGTAGTCATTGACTGACTCCCCTTGTTTCATAGCCAACACCTCGAATTCTCGTCGGAGTCGATTGAGCTGAGCACGTCGAACCCGATCATTTCCTTGGTACTTCATCTTCATGGAGTCCCACAACTGCTTGGAAGTGTCCTTCTTGGTGATGGTTCTCAGAATTGATTTGTCCAAGGATTGGAACAAGTAATTCTTCGCCTTCAAATCCTTAAGTTTCAAATCATCCAGGGTCTTCCTTTGCGTATCTGTCTGCAATTCTCCTTCTTTGGGCAACATGTAACCGTTCTCCACCACGGGCCAATATTCTCTGGATCTCAAGAGATTTTCCATGACCATCTTCCAATGATCGTAATCTCCATCGAATCTGGGAATGGAGGGTACAGAAAATCCACCATTCTTCTCTTCGGATCCCATACCCCAAACACTCTATTTTGTGGTACTCTCACACTTTTGAATCCCTCACACTTTTGAGGTCTTTCTCGCTCTGATACCAGATGTTAGCAAATCTGGTAACTAATCTTTATTAGAATGAAATACTGCTATATAAATAGCTTACAAAAAGGAAAACTGAACTGAATGCTTCCTAAGAATCAGGGCCACTAAGTCATACTTGACTCCCTACAATTTAGGCTTAATTAAAACTAACAACCATGATCCTCTCACGATCAATAGAGACTAAGTCAGTTACATATAGCAAATAACAATTAATAACAATATTAATAATAACATAACACTTACCAAGTAAACTGATCCATGAACTGTATCAATGCAGAGGCCAGCACCGGGTGGCAAAGTCAGATCAGCACATGCTGATACAGAAACAATATCAGCTATTTCTACTTTGATAGTCTTCTTATCCCCATTCATGGTATCTGATCTGGTTGAGAGACTTTGAGATGCTTGCCTCTGTTCACCTTTGGGTACCTGAAGCAAGTCCATTTTTTATTTCAAAACTTAATGTGAGCAGCCTCTTATAAAATTTCAATTTATTAGCCAGATACTTTACCTGCTGAAGCTTTTCGTGATCCAAAAAGAATTCTGATCGCTTCCAGTCATTATGAGGAGCAACTAATGCCCCCGCAGGAGGTGCAGTTAAATAGCCAACTTTAAGGTGAGGTAGTGGTAGCTGTGAAAATTGAGTTCTGTCAAAGTTGGTATATAAACGAAGAAATGAATGATTACATAACTAGCCCTCAGATTTCTATACAATGAAATGAAATGAAACAACTACCATATAGCGCATATCAATTCAAGTAGAAGATAAGTTAACTTCCAACAGGAAGAAAGGAATAGGAATGAAACCCAATAAAACAGTATGGTTACCTTAAAAACAAATAGATAATTTAAGTGATAAGTTCACATTGCAATGTTGTCCAGATTGAAAGCTACTACACTAACATAATTTAGGGTAACATGTACTCACCATAGAGCGTACCAACCGCAAAGCACTGCTATAAACCTGTAATAGCAAAAAAAAAAATATGGGCTGATTTCGTGATAAAAGTAGCCAAAAAAGTAAATAGGACACAAGGAAATAAATAGAAGGATAAGTTTTTAAGAGAAAAGCGCATGTTACTTAGACTAACAAACCTTTCTAATCTAAAAAAAGCGCATAGCCAATAATTATGTACAAAGGAATGAATAGACAGTGGCTTCTTACAGAATAATTTGGTTTCAATGCATGTGCAGCAGCAATATATATTGCAGATTGGCTGTACAATTCATTTGGTGAAACTTCTTGAGCATTCACTGATCCCCCTGTTCTTAAAGTGTCCTCTGCTAATCCGTACTGCAAAGTCATTTAACAAGTCAATTATACATTCTTAACACTGTTTCTTTGTGTTATATGTCAAAGCAAAATGTGTTATTAATAAATATGTGAAAAATTGAAGGAGAAATATGACCAGAACAGTTCCAAGATTGTAAATTGCCCGGTGGAAATCAAATTGCAACTGTATGGCTGCACGGAACTGCAATGAAGAATAAGGTAAAGTCAAGAGGGGAAGATAATAAATTATATTTAAAGGATGGAGCTGATGTAAATGTTTTTCACTTCCATGTGATTCCCTGCTAAAAAATGTGTACCTTGCTGATAGCAGTTCTAACAATTCTTTGCTTTTCTCGAGCTGGAACAATGGCACTGAGTTCCTGTTCAATATTTGATGAGGAAAATTGGAAACAGTTAAAGATTGTGGTCATGTGACTGGAAGGTGACAAATTCAAGTTATGGACTCAGCTTCTTGCAAATGCAAATCAGGATACCACAATAAACTCACAATGGGTTTGACCCTTCCTTATAGTTTACCATAGCAAATGTTTTATAGGACCAACTATCCATTTTTTCAACAAGTACGATATTTTGCCAAAGAATTCTTAAAATATAGAGAAAACTATTCTAAATAAGAGAAGACTTGGGTATGATTAGCAAAATAAGAACGGAATAGGTTTGGAAAACTAAATGAATGCATGGCAATTTCAATGGTATTTAAAAGTTTTATATTCATTATATTCTTTTATTTCTACATAAATTTTCAAGATAAACTTGACGAAGTATTACTTTTTTACAAAATTTTAAATGCCTGGCCCAAAGAAAAATAAAAGAGGTTATTTATATTAGACAATTCACTGACAAAGTAAAAAACTACATTGGATATATTCAGACATAGATCAATGACTCAACTGTGCTATTGTTAATTGATAATGCTAGGCCGTTGGCGGGTAGTGTTCTATAAGGATTGCTTGAATATAGAATTGAATGAGCTAGAAGTGCTACATCGGCCCCAAATGTAATGCAAAATAGGCAAGGGATCACATTTTTCTATAGGATTTTTTTATGGCACCCAAGTCTTGAAACACTAACAGCTAAATCTACGGAAGTATTTAACAATTTGATTATAAGTAGTACCAACTATTACTAGACTTTAAGAAAGTGGGAAACTCAAGTGAGTTGGATAAAAGGCAAAAGAAGTAGACATTTCAAGATTTAAAAAATTGAAAGAAGTCTATGACTGATGAAAGAACGAGAGGATAGGAGCATGTTCTTAAATCTGTCATTGAACAGATATAACTCAATGACAAGGTCTGAATAAATTTGGAAGGGTCAACAAATCTCAAGGAAGAAAATAATTTTCTAGCAGGGAAACAAAATATATTGGAGGAAGCATAAAGAAGCTTACATTAGGTTTACGGAAAAAGACCAATAAAATCTCCAATGAGAAAAGTAGATCAAATTGAAGATAGTTCAATTAAAACTGGAACAAGTGGTAGACCAACGAAAGCTAATGGAATAACCATTAAAAACAGATCTGAATCAAGATTATTCTATTAAAGATTATGTTTTTTATGAAACCCAATGGCATTGACAAAATCAATCATATGATATCAATGACTGACTTAACAAATTGAAAAATAGTGAAACAGGTCATTACAAAACAGTGTTGTTAAATATCGGTTATATCGCCGATATACTGGTTTTTCATATGGGAATTTGGCAATCCGATACGAAAGACGATATTCCGTTTCAATTTCGCTATGCTCAACATATCGGCTGTTTTTTGGTATACCGGTATACCGGTTTTGAATTTGATATCAGAATTAATATTATTATGATCATTTTTATAATAAATCATATTAATAAATATTTAAAATATAGAATGTGAAAAGATGGAATCAAAAAGTAGGCTGTGAAGAGGTGCCCAATAATAAAGTAGAATGTGAAGAGGTGGAGTATTAATAAAGTGGAAATGTGAAGAAGTATGTGGGTATTATTAACATATTCTGTTTGCTAGTCTGGAAAATAGAAGAAGAATGTAAGAGGTGTAATATGGTGTGATTATTTATAGGAATCAGAATGCCTCCATCACTATAACTTTTTCTTCACTTTATTCATTCTTCACATTCTGAAAATGAGGATAATGATTCTGTTGGGGAAATGGAAAATAATTAAATCTTTATCACTAGTTATACTTAGAAGAACTATTAGTTACTATTACTTATTTTGAAGTTTGTGAATTTTAAGTCATTTTGATTTTGAAGTTTGAACTACTTGGTTGTTAGAACTTGAGATTTTCAGTTTAATGTTAGTAAAAATTTTAATATTTGTTTATGTTAGTAGCTTTTATATGTGTGGGGCATGTTTTATTTTATATATAATTATTTATTTTAACCACTTTGCAGTTTCCGCTATTTGCCCGTACGATATCCGATATTTCTCATATTGGTTTTTTAGTGATCCGATATTTTCCGAGAATCGCTATTAACAACACTGTTACAAAGTATGGCTATCACAATACATATAGGGTGTACAGCACATATGTACACATGATAACACTCTTGGATAGGCATTAATTAACAAAGTACTCTAGGTATAAAAATAATTTTCCAGAAGTTAAAGCTTCAGATCATTTAAAAGGGTGAAAATAATTTATAAGAGCACTCTAAGAAGCTGAAGCTTTTTGCTTCTCCAAAAGTTATATTTTTATTATTGTGCAAATAAATAAATAAAGTACTTTTATCTGAAAAAAAACACCCTAACATGCTATTAGAAGCATGTAATCATAAAATTACAATATGTGTATTTTAACAAAGTTTGTATGAAGTGCAATGCTTGTACACTCCCAAATTGAAAATATACCTGAAGCGCTAGCCCCCAGTTATTAAGTGCCTGAAATAGATTCCATGAGAGTTAGTAAAAGGGGCTCAAATAGCAGAAGAGCACGCTTGTGAAAAGAAAATTAAAATGTGCAGAGGAATAGAGTGACAGTTTTTGATAAAGTAAACATTTACTAAGGAAACAAGAAAAAGCTGTTGCAAAATCACTTTTTGATTCCTTAAGAAGACGCTAATCAAACTTTTCACAAAAAAGAGAGAAGAACCTGAGGACTGTTCCAGTTGAGTTGAACTGCTTTAACATAGTTACCTGTTGCCTGCGAAATTTTAAAATTTTACAAAAATTAGAAGATGGGATGTTAACTCTCTCTGTCAACTATCACCAAACAAAACTGCTAAACAAGAAATTGAAAAGTTCTCTCATTCAAATCCAGTATGAATCCAAATATGTAACAAGCATCATCTAATAGGCATCAAGTAATTGGTATAAGAGCAGGATCTTCCATATATCATATCAATCATCCGAGAGCATGTGAGTGAAACTGTGAAGCGGTGACGCCATTTAATAGAAGGAAGCATGAAATTTTCCTAACCTGTTTCCATAGCTCTTCAGCTTCCTTTGTGCGGCCTCGCATCTTCGCACGATCAGAGATTGCTATTGCCCAATTGTAGTAAGCCTGGACACAGTCACACAGGATTAATATTACAAGTCATTACACTAATTTTTACACCTATGACCCTGCTTGTGAAAAGTAACTGATAAGCTAGCTAATAGCTGAAAAATTAGTTTATTAGTTTGAATTTGGTAAAAGTAGTTGTTGAACTAACTAATAAATATAAAATGACACAAAAGGGCATATTGTTAAATTAATTTTATACTTATTACTCAATATATATTTACGAATTATTTATTACCTTAAAAAGTATACAGAATATTTTCATTTTATAAAAATTATTAAATGGAATAAGATAATATAAATTAAGTTACAAGTTTATATGTTTTAAAATGTACATTTTTTGTTTTATAAATAAAGATGTATTGCTTGTATCTTATATACATAATGTATTTTGCATGACACTCAATTTCAAGATTTAAATATATTAGAGCTGAAGCCCATTTAATAAATTATCTGAGTATGAAAATTTTACTACCTAGTCAGCTTGTCAATAGCTTGCATAAGAAAAAAATATTAATAATGTACATTGATATTTATAAATCCTGCATATGTGTGCCCGTTTAAGATTTTCTTGAGTTGTATTTTTTAGTATTATTATATATATACTGGTTTATTTAGGTTCAACTGCTTTTAGCTGTGCCCCTAGGCAAGCTATTGTTGTACTCATTTACAACTTTAACTTATTGTAGGGGAAAAATTGCCACTCAATCATCAAAAACTTCATACAGAATAATATCCTTACATACATCATGGAGAGTGGGACAAAGGCGAGTGGCCTCGTCATATTTTTTGCAAGCTTCCTCAAGCAATGCATCTTTAGAAGGTGAAGTGGAATCTGGACTAACATTATCTGCACTTTCCTGCATGACAATAATGATTGAATGAACAAATTCAAAACTTGGACCAAGTATAGCATATTTATGATTCAAACTAGTAACATTTTGTATATTTGTAATGGATTATGAATATCCGATGATTTTTAATATGTACAATAATATGAAGTCGCAATCTCATTTTATGAGAAAACGGGGGAAAAAAATACAAGGTTAATTCGAAAAATAATTAGGTTACATAGGTGTATGGCCTGCACTTTCACACAAATAGAATATAATCCTAGAAAAAGTTATACTGGATAATAAGTTTGGTGACAGCTGGTATTTTACTAGAAAATGTAGGGAAATTCTCCATGAACTACAGCATTGCAAAACTTGAAAAATCAATTAACCTCTATATGCCCAACTGCCTCAACTCTCAAATTGACAAGGTACATCTCCCTCTCGGCAACCCTCTTCTTATTTATAAGTAACATGATAGGACCTTGGGGCCCATCGAGCCCAATAAGGATGAGGACTTAGAGAAGATCAAATGCTGAACACTGGCACACAGTCCGAGTGTCCGACATGTGGAAGGTTTATTCTAGAAGAAAGAGGGAATTTGGCCGTTAGTGACATATTGACATGGCCTAGGAGGGCACCACTTTTGGGGGATTTTCTGTTAGGATTGAGTGAATAAAAGATTGGCAGACTAGAGTACTGTGCATTCTTTCACGTAATAGAATTTGAGTTGTACTCTCTGCTACGCAAGGAGAATTATTCTCTTTGAAGGAGCTTTAGCTCTGGTAGTTTCCACTTCCTGTAAGAGCTTTGCTCATCGCTCTCAAACTATTACATTTTCCAGTGCTCAAACCTGGATTACTAACACAACATGCCTTTTTGCCCAATTATTCTATCCCGGACATAATAACTCTGACTCGCTCAGTGAGAAACATATCAGACCCTTCCCACCCCAAAACTTCAAACTTTGCCTTGCCTTAAGGTGAACAGGTTGTTCAGTAATTGGAAGCTTGGACATGAATATGCAGCCTCTCTTACCGAGACTCGGATTCCTAGAATTCTCTTGTGAAACTCGAAACCACTTTCCTTAGTTCTCCAAAGATTGTCCAGAATCTTTTTTTCTTCATTCTTGCTGACCAGACAGCACTTGAATCCTTCGATATGCACTATCCACAGATCGGAGAACTCCAATACCACTCAGTGTTGTCGATGGCAGATGGCGGTCCATGGCAGAGAGCTAAAATCCCGCCATACCGGCTGCTTTGTGGGGCCGTTATAGCGGATTATGGCAGAAAAACTCACAATATCGGCCGATATTTACCATTGCGGCAAGCCAAAAAACCACCATGCCGGCGCTATTTCATAACACCGATACCACTTCATAGAAAATTGTAATTTATTAGAAGATTTAGGGAAAATTGCCCTTGGGTACAGTATGTGAAACTTAAAGGGTTAGTAAATTTCTATTTCTCTATGCCCAAAGGACCCCAACTCTCTCAAAATGACAACATATCTCTTCTTCTGAACCCTTCTTTCTATGGGTAACATGTCTTATTTCTTTAATGATTTCTATGAAGCCAAGTGACTCCCAACTAGCTCTAACTCCCTCAATTAACAAACCTATCAAAGTTGATATGAAGCCAAGTAATCCAACAAGAAAAACAACCAATTAGCAAATAATATAAAAACCCAGCAGACTTCAATATTACAAGAGCAAAAATAGGCAGCTTCTCAGACCTGAAGCACCAATGCCCAATTGTACAGTGCATCATAATCTTCAGGGTTCCTCTCAATAGAAGCAGCATATCTAGAATATCCATGTAACAAAATTAGAAGTTTGAACAAACATTCCCCTGTCCCTGAGAAGCAAAAAAAAAACAGCAATCCCCGCCATGATAGGGTTCCTAATAATGCCAAATTTTTCGGTGTATATTATTCCTAGTTATATATAGAAGTGATTGAATTACCTCCTGGCAGCAAAAGTAAGAATCCTCTGCCGAGACCGGCCTTCCTCGTCAACACCTACAACACTGTTTATCAAATCCATAGCAGCATTGTTCTGCTCTATATGCTGCTGCTGTTGACTATCTTGGCTGTCAAAATAGTACAATGTAAACACACATTTCACACGCGCACAAACAAAAACACTCTCAATTTCAAATCCTTATTACTCCCATAATTCAACATCTATATATCTATACATCTATATAAATGGTAAAATTAGAAAACATCTATATCAATATAAATGCAAAAATTAGAGCAATATCTATACTCTACTAAACCAGAACATAAGAACATATTAAAAAGAGAGAGAATTGAAAACCTGTAGGGAGAGCTAACGTCTTCTCTCTCCGGTTCAGAATCATTCTTCAATCCATGCAACAATTCTCTCATGGTAAACGTTCGACTTCCTTCGTCTTTCTTTTTCAGCTGAGGTTGTGGCGAAGAACTGTTACCGGCGTCATTGGAATGGATCGCGGTTTCCTTGAGATCTACTACATCGTTAACTTCTGGATCGGGTCTTGATCCAGATTCCAGTTCCAATTGTGTTGGTACTTGAGATTCTACTTGTTGTGATGCCACTGGTTCCGGTTGAGGATTGGGTTCGGGTTCGGGTTCGGGTGCGGGTTGGAGTCCGTTCTGAGATTGTGGTTCCGGTGATGGGAGGAGTTTGTTCGGAGATTCTGGTTCGGACATTTTGGAGTGTTAGGGTTTTTAAGGAAATGGAATGGTGAATTGAGGAGAGGAGGGAGTTGCGATCGGATCAGACTTGAAAACAGAGTAGATACGGGGAGGAAACTGTGGTAAGAGGCAAAGCTAATACGGAAGGGAGAAGAAGAAAATTTAATTGGAGGACTATATTTAATATTCTTTTTTACTTTCGTATTGTTTGGTTAATTAATAAAAGAAATATAATGGAAAAGAAAGGAAAGAAAAGAAAATCAGAAAAATATGAGAAAAAGTTTTTTAGGTTAATTATCATGCAATATTTTCATCGAACTTTTTAACCAACGAATTGAATTCATTTGAAGAATAATAATTTTTTATTAGTTTTTTTTATGATAATAAAGATTTTTTTTAATAAGTTCATCACACACACTTTATCAAGTGAATTGTGGTTAATTTGCATGTTGAATAGGTTCATTCTTGTTGAAAGTCTGTTTTGAAATAAACGCCAGCAAAAAAATCTTCACTTTTCCAGGTACTTTTGTCCTCCAAACCAATTTCAATGCTCTCCTCAAGTATTCCTCTATTGCATCATGATCTCTTTCCTACATAATCTTCGAATATATATTTTTGATGGATTTTTTTTTTATTTTCTCCGCTTATTCATATCACCTCATCTTTCATATTTCTTTTAGGAGACACTCTTTCTAGTATCGGCAATAGATCTTCTTTTTCTTCTTCTGCAATATTATTTCCATTGTTGTCACTCCAATGTATTAATATCTATGTGACAATGTTGTTGTTGATTTCTCCACTTTCCCGTGTTTTCCACCGTGATGAGCTTGTTATTCTGTAGCTGATATAGGTTGGAAAACAGGACTGCTAATGGAACTTTCCCAACCCATTTAGTTGACCAAAAAGCAATATTCTCTCTAACCCTGAAGAAATCGGTAGAAAATCATCGAGAGTAAATCAATGAAGTCATCATCAAGTATTTTTTTTATCCTACAAAGAGAGAAAGGAAAATCATCGAAGAAAAACCTGAGAAGAGAGAAGTCACGATCTTACGACCAAGAGATCGGGTACAGTAGTCAATGACGCAAGAGAAAGGTATTAGCATCCCTCACGTTTGTGGCACTCCACGGGATCCACTCTTGTTGTTCTAATCTAAAGGGTGTGTTCTATCTAAAGTTAATCAAGCTAGAGGAAAAATGCATGTATGCAAAGTGTATATACAAAGAAAAAGGTTTTATTAGTCGTGTCTGCCACAATTGCAAACTTTTGTACCTACGTATCTTCTCCGTGCAATGAGAGATCAAGACACTCGTAGTTCATCTTAAAAAAAGTTTTAATTTGTTGTGTATTTTTTATGAGAATGATGTGTTAGACATTTCAAACGTTGAAACATTGACCTTAAGTCATTCGCTTCGTATTGGAATGGCTAAAATACATTTGTTTTATGAAAAGAGTTTTCAAAAGAAAAACCAAGTGGCAAAAGAAATTTGAATGGGTTTGTGTTTTTGTTGTGAATAATGATTAATTGATCTCAAAAGAGAGATATTTAGCCACTTATCCACTTATAAATGAAAAGATTTTGAGATTTGAACCACACAAAGGCTAAGAATGAAAGATAATAAGATCGAGAAGAAATCCGCTTATTATCTCTGTTGCTTAGCTAAAATATGATTCTCATCATTTATTATTAAGTGTTTTAAGGTTTGAAAGACAAAGAAGTTTTAGTTTTAATATGCAAAAGGGGAAGGAAAGAGTCTATGGAAAACTATCTATCCTACCCATAATGTTATCATACAATGGTGGTCCTAAGGTTGAGTTTGAAAGGGAAACTTCTACCTAAGTTAGTATGTTTGGATAGGAACCTAAGGTCTAATTAGTTTACATCTTTAAATAAGATGAAACTAACATCCTAATGGAACATGTTATTTGTACAAGAAAGAAGAAGAAAGAAATGATAAATAAATGAGTGCTTTTGAACAAATATAGAGAATGTGCAAGTAAGTAATGATCAAATAAAGTAAAATGCCTCTCAAGTCTTTATAAGACTATCCTTGAGCTTATCATACTTTTAAGCATCAATTACAACTAAAAATTGCATAAGAATATAATTTAAAGATCAAATGCATTCAAATTAGGGTTTTGTAAACCACACAAACTTTAGGCTCAAGGTAAAGACCAAATGATCAAAATATAATTTTCAACAAATGAAAACATATTGAAATATCATTAAAACACTCAAATGATCATGACATACCCAAATATTGGCCTTAAATTATGTCCATAAGCTTTGGAATGAAGCTTGACTAAATTACACTAGGCCAGAAGGACATGCTCACTTCAATATTCCATGAAAAATAGAAAAAATAGGATATAAAATCTAAACAAGAATGATCAAAAGAGCTCAAGTCTCTTAAAAGTCAGAAACTAATCCTTTCTCAACTTAAAAGTTCATAGAAATATCAAAATTAAATCAAAAGATCAAAACTAGCTCAAAATTAGGCAAAATGACCACTAAACAAAATAAATTTATAAAAAAATATAAAAGTCAGAAGTAAAATTCAATAAAAATGAGAAACATGTTTTAAACATCTTAAATAAGCTCAAACATATTTTTGTGGATTTTTGAGATCAATGAAAATGAGCGAATTATATTAAAACTTCAAAAGGAAGCAATAAAACCTCAAAAACCATTAAATCATTTTTCAAATTTTGAAAACTAAACAATACCTAAAATAAATAAGGTCTAAGACCAACAAAAAAATCAAGAAAACTCAGAGGAACATGAAAATATTTTTTGTGATTTTTTTATAGTTCCTAAAAAAGTCATAATTAATTTTAAACTAAAACTATATAAAATAAAATCAACTTAAACACATTAAACCAAATAAATAATAAAAATATCAAATAAATGCTAAAAATAAAATCAAAATCAAAATTATAAAATAGACTCAATTATCTTTTAGTCCATTTATTTTTTGAATTTTTTGGATTAGTGAAAGTATTTTAAATAAATTAAAGAAAACAAATGAAATAAATAATAAAATAAACAAAATAAAGTGAAATAAAAAAATGGTTGGTCAAGGAGTCTTCATTGAAGTCAGTGCGTGGGCCCACATGTAATGATCAACTAATCAGGCGCGTTGCCAATGATTGGGGGCGAATGAGACAAAAACGGAAACGACCAATCAGAGTAGGGCGCGTGGATATGCATGGGATAAAACAAAAAAAAATCCAACAACAACCCTAGGGAACCCGTGATTTTCTGCTCTTCTTCCAGTCCATTTTTCTCCTTCGATTCTCAATAAAATTGAAAATTTTAAACATCAAAGTTGTAGATCTCAAAAAGATCTATAACTTCGATTCAAGAAGTTCTTGAAATGGTTGAGATGTGAGTGAGAAATATGGGCTAGAAGTTGACTAAAAAACAAAAATCAACTATGTTTTCAAAAGTGAATCATGAACTTATGATTTTCTTCCTCTCTTCCCATCCAATTTTCTCTCTTGTTTCTTGATGAAATTAAAAAGTGTAAACACCAAAGTTGTAGATCTCAAGAAGATCTACAACTTTGGTTCAAGAAGTTTTTTAAAAGGTTGAGAGATGAGAGAGAGATCTGGGCAAGAAGAGAGCATAAAATATTGATTTCATGTTTTATTTTAGATCTGAATAATTTAAAATACAACCAAAATTAATGCAAAAAGTTCAAAAGGGAGATGTTCATCAACAACATAAGAACAACATCAAACAATTTCCAGATCTAGAAACACAAAGTTTAGGGTTTAAAGAAGTTACCTAGTGGAAGAAATGTCCACTTCCTCTTTATGCCTTAGAGGAGGATAGAAACCCATAAATTGCTCTTGATTCTTCTTGTTGGAGTTCAAATAAATAAATTTTGTGTTGGAGATTCTTGGAGAAAATGCTTGCTTTAAGAGAGAGAGAGAGAGAGATAGAGAGAGAGAGAGAGAGAGAGAGAGAGAGAGAGAGATAAGGCTAGAATTAGGTTTTTTGTGAGATATGTTAATGCTGTGAATGTGTGACTGAATGGAGGCAACAGTGCACTTATATAGAGTCTCAAAGTGAGGGTAGAGTGGTCATTTAGGTCTCATAACTGTTGGAGGGCATAAATGGAAGTCTTGGCCAAAATATGGCTTGGTGACCAAGTCTACATTTTGTGAAGAGATGGTGAGGCCTTTTGGTTGTTTTATACAGTTCATATATGCAGTAGCATATGCTCAAAAGATGGTACAAGTTAGTGAAGTGTGGAGAGAGAAATAAGGAATTGGCTATTTTGGACAATTTTGAGGTTTTTTGTACAAATTTTGTACAAATGCATGCATGGGTGTGAATAGAAGGTTTGAATCTCTTATACACGACCCAAATAGCTTATGAGCTTTATTAGAGTAAAAAATAATGGCTAGAAATAGAGAACTCAAGAAATTACAAATTTTGACTTGGCAAATTTTAATAAAATGCAGTCCCAATATAAAGGGCACAACTCTCTCAATTCTTTGAATCAATAGGCAAACTTGTAGTCTTTGGAAATGTATTGAGATGTGCAACAACTTTCATGTTGCAAGTTTTCTCATTTGAATCCATTAAAGTCATCAAAACTGGCCATGAAATTTTGGAAAATGACATATGATTCAACAAAGTGACTTATAATTCTTTGCTTCACAACTCTCAAAATAATCACTTTTTGGACATGGGATCACATTGAAAAAGTTGTAAATCTTATTTTTCTATTTCCAACAATGTAAAATTTTCACATTTTCAATAAGAAATGAAGAAGTTATGAATTTTTGAAATTCAATCTTATGACTTTCCATACTTAGAAATTTTTCAAGTTTCACCAAGATACCTTCATGAACAAGTTAACTTCAAAATCAAATTTTCTTTTGAATTTCTTCAACCACGGGCCATATGATGTTGAAAGATGATAATTGACCTCAACTTTGATCATAAGTCCACTTGGTCAACAGTTGACTTTTGTTGACTTTTGCTCAAATGACTATTTTAT